TAGACATTTGAAGAAACACATAAACGGACTGCATATAGCAGAGATCACGGGTTGCCAACACGTCTCTGATAGGAACATAGGGTTGTCTTCCTTGGGCCTCGAGGTTATTCAAAAGTCGCTCTCTGGCGGCGTCATTATCCGTACATTGCCAAACTGCGTGTTCGATGTCATCGTAACCGTTTCCACACCGACAGATGTTGCTGTCCACGAGGTTTATTCTATTGAGATGAGCATCTAGCGAGTAGTGGTTCGACATAAGTCTACTCATCACCCGAATGAAGTCACGACTTAAGCCCAAGCCTTTAAACCACGCTCTCGAAGAAACATTAGGAATAATTGAATGTAACCACCGTCCAAGATTTCCAGTAACCCAATCGGTTTGCCAACTCGAAAGGGTACTCTGACGCACTAAATGGTAAAATTCATCGTGTGAAATTCCGCCTTCCCATTGCCTGGGATTGAGCAATGTGAGGGGACCCATACAAAGGTAATCATATATGATCTTTCGGCCAGTACACTCATCTGCTCCCTTACCTTTGAAAGGAAATAAGATGAGTGCCTACCTTGTTTCATCGACCGAATAGCCTCAATCGAACTGAGACTATCCGAGAAGATGAAGTAATGGTCTGTGGGCATATTGGAAATCATCCCCAATGCGAAGTTGATTGCTGCCAGCTCAGCAACAAAAACGAAACAAGGTTCCTGAAGTTTGCGGAAGGCGCTAGAGTTTTCATTGAAGACACCGAAGCCAGTGGATCCATTTAAACGGGACCCGTCTGTAAAATATCTTTTCATGCAATTGGCTTGTTGGTACTTTTCAGTAAAAATACGTGGGATAATAATAGGTCGAAGTTGATCGGGAATCCCATGAGTTGCTTGTTTCATGGTCAGATCATATTCAATTGAGGAACTGCGATTGGTGAAGTGAACACGGTCTGGAGTATAACAAGGAAGACACATATCCGACGATATGTAGTGGTGGTAGATTCTCATAAATCGAAATTGTGTGTTCAGCCCAAGAATTTCTTCAAAATTTGCAATTATAAGTGTGTTCGTCACTCCGCATTTGATTAGTATTCTGAGAGAGAGCTCCCAGAAACGGTTCTGGAGGGGTGTTACTCCTGCCAGAACCTCGAGACTCATGTTATGCGTTGAGTGCATACAGCCAAGGGCAATACGCAGACAACGATATTGAATTCGTTCCAATTTTATTAGGTGACTTTTTCTTGCCGAGAGAAAGCAGAAAGAGCCGTTCTCTAGAACAGAGAGAATAGTTGTTTTATAAAGCGTAATGAGGTCTCCCGGATGAGCAAATTGCCATGTGCCGCAAATTGAACGGAGAAAGTTGATCCTTTGCTGACATTTTTGCTTCAAATACGTAATATGGGTATTCCAAGTGCACTTTGAATCAAACCAGACCCCAAGGTACTTGAAAGACAATGATTGGGTAATGTTTCTGCCCAAAAGATTAAGCTGCATTTGGGCTGGGTACCGCTTTCGAGTAAACACTACAAGTTCAGTTTTCTGCGGCGAGAATTCGATCCCTAGATTCCTAGCCTAAGAAGGCAAGTTATCTAAGGAGCTTTGCAATGGTCCTTGCAAGTCCACGGCATGTGAACCTCTTACGGAAACCACACCGTCATCTGCAAGTTGTCTAAGCGTGCATTGTTCTGCCAAACAGTTGTCGATATCTTTGACATTAAAGTTATAAAGAAGAGGGCTGAGACATGAGCCTTGGGACAGGCCCATTTAGCTAATTCTGGAAGTTATCAGTTGTCCAAGGGAAAAGTTCGTTTGCTTTTCTGACAACAAATTGTACAAGAAATTATTTAAAATTCCAGAAAGTCCACATCTGTGCAGATTGTCTGACAGGATTTCAATGGAAACTGAATCAAAAGCCCCCTTAATGTCCAAGAATACTGAAGCCAATTGCTCCTTGTGCGCAAAGGCCAGTTGAATATCTGTGGAAAGCAGCGCTAGACAATCGTTTGTTCCTTTGCTCTTGCGGAACCCAAACTGTGTATTTGATAGCAAGTTATTTGTTTCGACCCACTGATCGAGTCTCCGAAGGATCATTTTCTCCAACAATTTCCCAATGCACGAAAGCATCGCAATCGGACGGTATGAATTATGGTCAGACGCTGGTTTGCCAGGTTTTCGAATGCTATTACTTTGACCTGTCTCCATTCAGGCGGTATAATGTTGTTTTCTAGTAAGGAATTAAATAAGTCTAGCAAGCGTCTTTTAGCGATATCTGGGAGATTTATCAGAAGATTGAATTTAATCATATCGCTTCCCGGTGAGGAGTTGTTCGATGAAAGAAGAGCCATAGAGAATTCCAGCATTGTGAATGGTCTATCCAGAGAGCTGCCGCTCGGAGACGCTTCTCGAAGAATGTGTTGTGCTGGAACTGAGTCCGGACAGACCTTTTTAGCGAAATCGAATATCCATGTTGCGAGCCACCCTCCACAAGGTGTTCATTGAGGTTTCTCGTGAGAGTCCCTCAATGAAATTGCGCCAATAACCGCGTTTTTTTGCTTTGATTAATTGTTTCAGCTTTGCCTCAAGCTTTGAATATTCCTCGAAGTCTGTGGAGGTTTTGTGTCTACGAAAAGCTTTGAAAGTATCAGATTTTTCTACATACAATTTTGTGCAATCTTCGTCCCATCCAGTTGTGGTTTGTCTCCTTTTGAAGGGTGCACTTGGAACTTTTCTTTTTTGTGCTTCCATTGAGCTTTTGTATATCAAATCGGCGGGGAATCGATATTCTCCCAATGGTGGGAGCGTATCTATTGATTCGATACCGATTGTCACCGCCGTTGCATATTTCTGCCAGTCGATGTTCCTTGTAAGATCAAATGGAACTCGAGATGGTTCTGCAGATTGAGGGCCACACTTAAATGAAATGATGATTGGCAAATGATCGCTACCATGGGGGTCATTGATAACCTTCCACAGTCAATCCAATGATAGTGATCTTGAACACAAAGATATGTCGAGTCGGCTTTCTCGAGCCGGAGGTTTAGCTATACGTGTCACTTCACCAGTGTTCAAAATAGTCAAGTTGAAATCGTCACATAAATCGTAAAAAATAGCCGCTCTATTGTCATCGTATAGATCGCCCCACCCGTACCATGGGAGTTCATATCACCCAGAAATAATACTGGGGATGGAAGAATCGAAACTAGATTCCAGAGTTGGCTACGGCTAATGGAGGTTCTGGGTGGAACATATTCTGAAGCTATGCAAAGATTTTTGTTCTTCACATTTATTTGGCAAGCGACGATTTTGACGCCTGATAGAGCAGGAAGGGAAATTTTGTAGAAAGGATAGCTCCTTTTGATCCCTAAAAGTACTTCTCCATAAGAATCGTCTCTATCCAGGCGAATAATGTTAAAATCGTGGAAGTTGAGTTCTTTATCGGAAGAAAGCCATGTTTCACAGAGAGCAAATATATCACATTCAGAATTGTGGAGTAAAAATTTGAACGAGTCTAGTTTAGGCACTAGACTACGGCAGCTCCACTGTAGCACAGTGATCATATCTACAACCTCGTTCGACGAATTATCCATCGAAAGATATGATTGATGCAAGGAGGGGCCATGAAACAGTCAATTGCTTGAGATATGATTCTAATGTTGGAAGCAAGGCAATGTTGAGTAAACGTAAAGATGTCGAAACAAGAGAGCAATCTGTCAGCCGTTGTCGCTTTGTTGCGCGCCGGAGTATGCATGAAAGAAATAATTCGGTCGGTAAATGTGTCTGAAAGAACAGTGTATAATATTAAAAAAAGGCTTGGGAAAGTGATAAGACGGAGCACCTGCTCATACTGCTAATAAAGCACAGAAATGACTTACGGAAAATATTTCGTAAATTTGGGAGGAAGAAATTTGGCCCCCAAGCAGTCCCGATATCAATCCGTTGGATTATTTTGTATAGGGCGTCGTCCAACGGGATACCAATAGAACCCCTCACACCACACTTAAGTCGCTAAAAGCTAAAATCAAGGCAGTGATGACATCTATGGATCGAAACATTTTAAAACGTGCATACTGCAGTTTCCGGAAGCATCTAACTACAGTCGTCGAAAGGGAAGGCAATTTTTTTGAATAAATTTACTTACAACTTCCATATGTTGCGAAAGAAATCGCACAAAATTCATTGCTGGAATAACTAACTGGTGTATTTTTTCTCAAATATGCCATTTACTGCAAAAATTCGTCACGCACCCTGTAGTGGTAAGCGTGACTGCTTTTTAACACCCCAATGGGTCTGGGTTCAATCCCAGCCGAGGTCGGTGGGATTTTTGGGATCTCTGGTCACGTTTTCCTTCGGAAGGGAAGTAAAGCCGTTGGTCCCGGCCCATGTGTGTTGTGAATGGGTGCGATATCCTACGCAGGTGTGGAAGCTGCCTTCCTGCACATTCGGTTGCCGTCAATGGATGGCAATCGATGTCCGTCGGTGATTGGCACTAGATTGCGGAACAGAGACCGATGTTAAATAAAGAAAAACAAAAAAAAAAAAAAAAAACCGTATTCACTCGGCTGTCGACAAAAGCAGGCCACTTTCGATGCGTGCAACGCGATCGTATGTTTTCTCGGCAGCAACCATTGTGTGGTCCTCCTCATTGTTCTTCATCAGCAGTTCTTTCGGTCGATGCGTCATCGACTTTGGAAGGCAACCGTTTAGTGATGAGTGTGTGAGTGCTGACCACGTTTTGCGTCCATTGCTGCAATGGAAGCGCTTTGACCCACTTGGCAATACTGCCATTTAATGAAACCACTGAAAGCGACTCCCGTTCTGACTGAAGAGGCTTTTTGGATAGCGGAAGATAAAGTGTTTATTGTTTTGTACCTTATGACTATAGTTTTAAGATGTATTGTATAGTAACCAAGAATCCTCGGCTCTGTAAAGTTAATTCGATTGAGCCTTATCAAATAAATTATTATAAACCGTCAACAAAACAAATACTATCCGTTTTTTTGCTTCTTTCTCCACAGCCGGCTGTGACAATGGTTGTTCTCGTCACGGCCAATGCACACTGGAGGATGGCGAGTATCGATGTGTCTGCATCGAAGGTTGGGCTGGAACGGATTGCTCCATTGCACTGGAGTTGAGCTGCAAAGATAATACCGATAATGATAATGGTAAGCCTCAATGAACAAATATTTATTTTCTTTTCTTCTGCTTTGTCTACTACAATTGTGTCGTTAGCTTTTGTGAGATTAATAGTTTAAGTCATTTTTGGGTTGTTTAAGCGAGCGAAATAGAATGCTCATTACGTAGAATACATAAAGGATTTCACCATAGGAGGAGATTTTTTTTTTATCATATTAAAAGATTGTTTATGGATGAATAATCTAGAACTCAGATTTATCTTAGATGCGTCTAGGTTAAAAACGGTTATCTTTCCAGCTTTCTGATCAGTAATATATAAATGAATCTAATTGGTTGGACAATATGATACATATGATAACGACAGCGGCGCCGGTGGTGTAGTGGTAAGCGTGATTGCCTCTCACCCTAGCAGGCCTGGGTTCAATCCCAGTCGGCGCCGCCGGGATGTTCTGAGACATAACATCTCTGATCACGCCTTCCTTCGGAAGGGAAGTAAAGCCGTTGGTCCCCGGTTCATGAGTTGATGGGTCGATAGGTAGGGTCCAGGTGTGAGAGCTGCCTTCCTGGCGTCGGTAGCTTTGGTGCTCAGCACGGAAAACAAGATCGACGGAAAACAAATCAAAGGAAAAAAAAATGATAACAATGATATTGCATCAGAAATACTTCATAATACTTCACTTACTCTAGTAAACTAATTAAAGTATATTTCGCATACGTGTTCCATGACTATATTATAAAATTAAATCTAAAGTAATGCATTATTGATTTAATTTTCATTAGGAAGGAACAATAGAATTTAGCTGATTAGATTAGGTTTCTTTCTTTTTTTTTATTTAAGAGGTTTTCAGCCTAAAGGCTGGTTCGCCTCTATTAGGTTTCTTTGTTAAAGAGGCTTTCAGCCGCAGAGATTAGCAACAAGGAAAACAAAATACAGCAGTACGTTCCTTTTATTGTTATTATTATTTATACCTTGATACAGTCAACTCGCTCTAACCCGATATTCAACTATCAACTAAAGGAGATTCTGAAATTCAGAACAACTGAAGAAAAACCGTAATTTCTAAATTTCCTCATATTAATCATGAATAAAATAGTCTATTTAACTTTAAGTTTGATATGAAATTGAAAGCATAATTTAATGTTTTATTTGTAAACTTGTTACATTAATCGACCTAAAAATTATCATGATATTATACTTCAATCGTTTTAGTAGATCACAATTATGCATAATTTTGAATCGCAGTGCTACGAATTCATCTAAAATTATCGAAAAAAATAAATAAATGGTGGTAAAAATACAAAGCGAAATTAATAAATATTCATCGGATAAGGGAGACATCATGATAGGGATATATTCAGTTAGGAAAGGAGTAATTCTTGTAAAATTGCAGGGACTTTGAAAATCATCGAGTTAGGAAAATTATCGAGATACAGAATATCGAGTAAGGGAGAGTTAACTACACATGGAATAAGCTTGTTGTTGAAATTGTTGTAAGGTAACCGTAATAATCAGCTTCTGAATATAATGATTCTATACATAATCTGGGGATTATTTAGTCACAGACAAACAGACGTAACTCTTTGAAAAACTTGTTCTTGAAAACATAGTATCTCAAAACATATAACCTCAGTAACGACATCTCTCTGGCTTCTCGCGCAAAACAAGCTTGCTCGCTAACTCATAAACAATATTGCATAAAAGTTCAATAGAATATATAGAAACGTCAAAGTGATCCGATGCCAGCGCTGCGGCGAGTAGTTCGTGGAACTGATAATATTCAAATCAACCGTTAAATGCATGAACGAAGATACACAATGATGAGTTACGTCTGTTTGTCTGTGATTTAGTAGTTGAGCGCAAGTTGTTTGTAAAATATTCATTATTTAAAATTTAACATTACACATATTATTATCTAATATTCACAGATGGAATGACCGACTGTTCCGATAGCGAGTGTTGTACCCATCCAATCTGTGCACAGCACATTATGTGTTTGGCATCCAATGACCCAGTAGAGGTTCTACTTCGTAAGCAACCTCCTTCCGTTACAGCATCATTTTACCAAAGAGTGAAATTTCTCATCGAAGAAAATTCAGTGCAATCGTATGCTCATATGGACGAATACAGTGAAAGGTGAGTGCAAAACCTATTCATGATTTTTTTTTTCTATTACGTCTGAGTACTAATCCATGTTTTTATTAATAAGCACTAGAAATTGACTAGAGTGATGATGGGTGTAACTGAAGTTTAAAAAGGGATAATGATTTATTTAAAATTTGCCCTGCATTCCAAGTGGTTTTATGTAATCTAGGCCGGATTCCAAATTTCATCATCGATCCAAAAAAGACATCTCCATGAATATTTGAGAACTATAGCAGTGGTTGCTGTAATTTGACTTTTGTTACGGTTACAGTGACAGTTTTACATCAATGGATGGTCGGTTGAAAAATTAGGATGTAACAACAGTAAATATAGA